TCAAGTGTCCGGGCAACAAATCTCTTTCTTTGATTGTTATGTTGGCAGGGTTACACCACCGGTTGTTAACTAGAACAGCAAGCCCACCTCCTTTCCGCTTACCGCTAGCGATGCTGTCCCTGTCTGCTCGAACAGTGTGGAAGCCTTCCACGGAAGCATTCTCATCGGGAATGTCCTGGTGCAGCCATGATTCGGTGAAACACATCAGGCTACACTCTCGGTATTCCCTCTGACTCCGTACCAGTGCTGAGAGCTCGTCGATTTTAATTGCCAACGATCGCACATTACCCATCACGATAGACGGCAGACACGGTTTAAACCTCCTCCTCGCTTCGAGCCTCCGCTGTCTCACCGTCCCTTTTTTCTTCTCTTCTGTCCTTGACCTCTGCATCCCCGATGTGTTTTCCTCCAAATTTCAGCTGGTACTTCTGCGGGCCTGGCCAGCGAGCCGGCCGGCATCAGGGCGATCAGCTGATCTCTGGAGTAAACAGTCCGTGAGTGTAGAGAGATGTGCCGCGGTCCCGTTCCTTGATAAAAGTAACAGTTCCACGGCCAGCAGAAGAACAAAAACTCTCTCAATCCACATGATTGAGTAAGAGATAGAAAACGGAGGAAAATACAAGTCAGAAAAAAAAAGAATACGTAAGAAAAAAGAGCTAAACTAAGAGAAAAGCAGGAGCGACTGTAACAGGCTGCACGCTGGTGGGCACCTGCCCTCTCTTTATATTATCAGCCAGCTCTCCATTTACCTGTCATAGCCGCTACTTCAAAATCCCTACTCTCACCTTCACACTCCTGCTTTCCTTCTCTCTGACTGCCAGAAAACAGTAGCACAGTTTCAGCAAGCACCATATTGGCCAACAGCACCATGGCGCATCTGTGATTGCGGCCGCAGCACCCGGCCCACGAGGCGTTGGAAAGTGGCAGGGGCTCTGAACAACCTGAACGGAACTGTGACAGAGTGGAGAAGGCTGTCTTATCTTTGGACTCTGCAGAACAGGCAATCTGCCAGTAGCCCTTGGTTAAATCCAGTGTGGTGAAAAAGCGAGCACTGCCTAACCAGTCCAGGAGCTTGTTGACCCGGGGAATGGGATAAGCATCAAACTGTGACACTTTATTCACCTTCTGATAGTCTACACAGAACCGTATAGACCCGTGTTTCTTCACTACCATAACTATGGGGCTACACCAAGCGCTGTGTGACTCTTCTACTACTCCCAGCTTCAACATTTCCGCCAATTAGGTAAATGGTAAATGGACTGGTTCTTATATAGCGCTTTTCTACTCTCCTGGAGTACTCAAAGCACTCTCTACAACACGCCGCATTCACCCCATACACACTATACGGTGAGTGCTTTTTTTAAACTGTTAGCAGTCGGACGTACCGCCCACGGGACATTGGATGGTTTAGGGGACTAATAGGACTGCTAAGGGTTTAAACTATCATTCATACGCATTCATACTCCGATAGATGCATCTGAGAGCAAGTTGGGGTTAGTATCTTGCCCAAGGATACTTGACATGCAAACTAGGGGAGCCAGGGATCAAACCACCAACCTTCCAATGAGCAGCTGACCTGCTCTACCTCCTGAGCTACAGCCACCCCCTGTCTTGTGTGCTTTTGTGTGCAGCAACATCTGCTTTTGTGCGAGATGGTCATCACAATGGAGGGAGGCAGCAATGTTTGAATTTGGTACCTCCTTTTCCAACTGTCCACAATCACTCGCTGCCGCGGGCAGACTGAGAGCCACCACCTGGGCTACGCCAGACAGCAATAGAAGCAGCAGAAGCAGCAGAAGCAGCAGAAGCAGCCTCAGCGCTGATCTCTCCATCCAAACAATGCAGAGAGTCAACTGCTTTTATCATACATTCGGTATATAATAGTTTGGACAGAAATCGTGATGTGAAGAAACAGTCTTTGCCGAAACAAAATTAAACTTCGACAGACGTTAAAACTTTACCTGAGAATTTTCATTGCACAGCGTGGACTTTCCAATCCAGATGATAGCAGCATCACTCCTAAATCCTTCAGGTCATTGTTACTCAGGTCCAGCTCTGTCAGACTGGAGACCTGTGAGCTTAGTACCGAAGACAGAGCTTCACAGGTTCTTTCTGACAAATTGCAGCTGCTCAGCCTTGAAATGAGTTAACAAAATATTTGTAACATTTTGGGGTATAAAAAAAAGACCTCCAAAGAGGTTTTACTTTTTCAGATACAAGAATGGTTGATTGCAGGATCAAACAGTTTAATAACACTACTTTAAATTTCCATAGGAATTTTAGATTCCATTATCCAAAGTTAATAATCTGACCAAAATATTTAAAGCTTTCTATAAACAAAGTTGCAAACCAGTAGTTAATTTTGCTGGTGGTTTAATGTGTTGATTTGTTTTCACAATTATCAAATCACTGGTTTTGTTTAGTTTAGTGTTTAGTGAACAATCATGGTGTTTTAAGACATTTTCTAATTCTTGTTATCTATGTACTTACAGAGCTGTTTTTGAGGCTTTGACCACTAGCAAAAGCCTCAGAAGAGCCTCCTCTGAAGCAGAGTACTTCTTCAGGTCAAAAACATGCAGATCTTCTTCTGATGACAGTAAGATGAAGACCAAGGCTGACCACTGAGCTGGAGAAAGTTCATATGTGGAGAGGCTTCCTGAACTTAGATACTGTTGGATTTCCTCTATTAGAGAACGATCATTTAGTTCATTCAGGCAGTGGAGAAGATTAATGTTTCTCTCTGGAGACAGATTCTCACTGAGCTTCTCCTTGATGTATTGGATTGTTTTCTGGTTGGTTTTTGACCGACAGTCTGTTTTTTTCAGTAGGCTCTGTAGTTTATCCTGATTGGTCTGCAGTGAAAGACCCAAGAGGAAGCGAAGGAACAAGTCCAGATGTCCGTTTGGACTCTGTAAGGCCCTGTCAATGGAAATCCTGTGGATCTTCTTTGAAGATGTTTTACTTAAAAGCAGTTGAAGATTGCGCATTGAGGGCTGTGGTAAAGGCATCACATTTATGTTACTGTTATTAAGCGACATCCTCACATAAAGAGCAGCCAGAAACTCCTGAACGCTCAATGGACGAAGCTGAACATCTTGTCTTTCCCTTTCCTTCCTCGATCTTCTTTGAAGATCTCTGTGAACACTCCTGAGCACACCGAGGCTTCGCTGAAATCAATGCCGCTCTGTCTCAGATCCTTCTCATAGAAGATCAGGTTGCCCTTTTCCAGCTGCTCAAAGGCCAGTTTTGCTAATGACTTAATGTATTGAATGCTCTTCTCTGGGCCATACTTTTCTTTTGTCCGATCAATCTGAAACACCAGGAACTCTGCGTACATCTCAGTCAGAGTCTTGGGCAGCTCTCCTCCCTCTCTGGTTTTCAACACATCCTCCAGAACTGTAGCAGTGATCCAGCAGAAGACTGGGATGTGGCACATGATGTGGAGGCTTCCTGTTGTTTTGATATGGGAGATGAGTTTGTCAGCCTCCTCCTTACCTTTGAATCTCTTCCTGAAGTACTCCTCTTTCTGTGGGTCGGTGAACCCCCTGACCTCTGTTGTACTGCTGATAAACTCTCGAGGGATCTGATTGGCCGCTGCAGGCCGTGTGGTTACCCAGATGCGAGCAGAGCGTAGCAGTTTCCCATTGATGAGTTTCCTCAGCAGGACATCTGTTTTAGTTGCCTTTGTTACATCGACAGAGCGAATGGCTTCAGAATGAAGGTCGAGATGAAGGCGGCTCTCATCCAGCCCATCAAACACAAACAGAAGTTTGAATTTACTCTTGTCATAGTTGGTGATTCCTGATGACTGAACATCTGTAAAGATGTAATTAAGAGCCTCCTGTGGGATGCCTACAGTTTCTGGGATGCATTCATGAATGAGCTCTGCCAAACTGAACTTTTCTCCCTTCAGAGGATTCAGCTGACGGAAGGTGAAGGGGAAAATCAGATGCACATCTTGATTGGATCTTTGTTCAGCCCAGTCCAAAACAAACTTCTGGACAAGGAAAGTTTTTCCAATTCCTGCGATTCCATTGGTCATCACTGTTTTGATGGGTCTGTAGTCTCCTGAAGGATGTTTGAACATGTCTGTGGGTCTAATAGGTTTCTCTGGCTCTGCTGGCTTCCATACTTTCTCAATCTGCCGGACCTCATGCTGTGTGTTGATATGTACATCATACCCAGCTGTGATGTACAGCTCTGTGTAGATATCAGTTAGATGCAATTTATCTTCTGTCCACCCTTCTTGTGCGCACATGAACTTGTCCTGGAAGTTTGATTGAAGCATCTGCTTGTAAAACATGATGGGGCGAGGCTCTGGTACTGGAACCACCATATCTGTATCAAACAAGTAACAAATTATAAACCTGTGTCTACAAATACCCATGTTAATGTTAGAAACACATGGATTTCAGGGTGAAATATTGTCTCAAGATAATGCTTCATGCATTTCTTCAGGAAACATTATAACTTTCATAATTGGAAGTTAATGTTTGACTGAAGACACTCACAGAAATACATTTATAACTGCCTTAGAAGCTCTACTTTAGCCATAATGACTCAATAAAAATAAATTCCACTCTGAATATATAGATAAAAAGTTATTCAAGCAGGTTCGTGGTTTATTTTTAAAAGTGTGAGCAGGCTAGACAGTCCCCTAGTCTTCAGAACCAGCTTGAAAGGATGACTGCGAAAAGCTGCTGACAGTGTTGTGTCCCTGATAATGCATTGCGTCAAATGGAGACCAAAGACCATTGATCAGTGGTTTTTGATCAGTGGTTGTTGATAAATGGTCATGAGAATTTGCATAATCATGTTGAAGGAACTGACCTCACCGCCCATTGTTCCTTCAGTGGGCTGGTTTCCGTCATTATGCAAATGTGGTGTATATAAGAAACCTGCAGTCAGCTGAGACTGAAGAAGTCACTTGGATGAGTGACGAAACGTTTCTCCCACTGAAAACGCTACGTCCAGATTAACAGAATCCACCTTTGGAGATGTGGTTTTGGTGGTTTCATTGAGCAATAACCTTCAGCTTGTACTGGGGTGGTTTCTGAGTGTGAAACATGTCAAATGAGAATCATCACCCTCAGGTCAGAGGCCATGGTTCTCAACCAGGAAGGTGGTATCTGTAAGGCCAGATATCACTGAGTGATCCGCCATGTGTTAGCATCTTGCACCCTGCTGTTATGTGCTGGATTGTCTCAGGGGCATCTTTACACAGCCTGCACCTGGGGTCTTGCCTGGTGTGATAGACCCCAGCCTCTATGGATCTTGTGCTCAGAGCTTGTTCCAGAGCTTGTTCAGTCCAGCTTTGTCCAGCTGCTGGTAGGATTTCTGGATGTCAGCCACCTCTTTTATCTGCCGGTGGTACATACCATTCAGGGGCCTGTCCTTCCATGATGGTTCCTCCTCTTTTTTGGGTTTCTGCTGCCTGAGGTATTAACTGATCGCACGGTCGGTTGGGGCCATCTTCCTGATGTAATCATGGATGTTTGTTGTCTCATCCTGGACTGTGTTACTGACACTTACAAGTCCCCGGCCTCCTTCCTTCCACTTAGCGTACAGCCTCAGGGTGCTGGACTTGGGGTGAAACCCCCATGCATGGTCCGGAGCTTCATCGTCTGTATGTAAGTGGCTTCTATCTCCTCTTGTGGTCAACTTTTTATCCCAGCAGGGGGGAGGGCGTAGGTGTTGATAGCCCGGAGTGAGCCTTTATTAGGGGCTGATACAGAAGGCAAAATAACAAACAACAAACTACGGCAATGACAAAACTAAGAACCTAAACTGGGAGAAACGAAAGGCTATGAACGAGGACCATGAACGAAGACTAGGACTGAGGACTGAACTATAACGAAGTACTATGAACTGACTATGAACACAACATGGAAAACTATGAACAAGATCTCAGTGCTGGCACATGAAGGTGCAGGAAAACATGACTGGAGCAAGTGACTATGAACATGTCCGATACCGAATCTTGCAGGCTAGAATCATGACGCGCAGCTAGAATAACAGGGTGGGTGAATCAGACGGGACGACGATGAACACAGGAAGACTGAGGACTTAAATACACACATGAGGTGATCAGGGGAAGTGGAGACACATGAGGCCACAGCTGACTAGAATGAAACATGATGACAACACAGGGGAGAGTAAAACTAAATGCAATGAACAAAGAACACCAGACTCTTTCAAAATAAAACAGGAAACACGGAGACATAGATAAGACACAAACTTGACAAGAGCCACACAGACATGACAGGTAGGCGCATGAACCAGTGAGACTGAGTACAGGGGGAGATGGCAAAAGAAATTTAAGAAACAAAGGACTAAACCGCAACCTGGAAATTAACTAGATGAGCCAAACTGAAACCTCTGTCCAGTGAATACAAAATGATACATTAAAAACCCACAAACTGGGTCACACAACCCAGTACCGTGACAGGTGGTATTCAGAATACAGTTACTTTGTTGAAATAGAGGACTTACACGACGGTCATTTCCTGTTTCATATGTTCGGCTATGCCCTATGTATTTCTGGTAATTCCACGCTGGTGGAAACCCACCCCCCAAAAAAAAACACGCATTAAGAGGCACTAATGCCGGGGTCTCCATCCCGCGGCCCTTGTCACCTCTACTTGCAGCCCGCATAATGACGTGAAGAAATATTTTCTAAAATTATTATTCAAAAAATTATAGTGTTACAGGCATCGCCCTAAAGGGGCTATATGCTCGGAATAGTTTTCTATACGAGATCGCTGCAAAAAGTGCAGCCTTACCTAATGTCCACCTACTGTTACTCATTTATATTAAGATTTAAACATCTAGTTGGTGTTGGTGTGGAGAGTAACCTTCAGTAATAGTAATAAATCACACAGCAGTAGGACATTCATGTAGTTGTAGACAGCTTGATAATATATTAAGTAATCCAAAGTATTCAGAATACTCATTGAGTAACGTAACAGAATACATTACAAAATACATTTTGGGGCATGTAATCTGTAATCTGTAGTGGAATACATTTTAAAAGTACCGGGGGTTCACATCATTGTTCCACATGCACCTTTTCAGATTCATGTTAATGTTCGTGCTTTCTCGTCATAGTTGATCTTAGTTTATTCCCAGTTTAGGTTTTAGTTGAGCTTTTTTCCCCAGCTCGCTTTGCCTCATTTTATATTCAGGTATTTTCAGCCAAATAAAGAGCTCGGCTTCGGTTATACTGAGTTTACGCTGCCGTGTCTGTTTTTGGGATCGCTCCGCAAACACACCAGCTACAAAGCAGTGACACACAGCTTCGCTAATGTACACTGACTGACAGACAAACAGAATATGAACATTACACCAATATTACCTGTTGCCTCCAAAACTTTGTCAGACTGCAATGACTTCCTGTTTATGTCTTCCTGTGACTCACCTTCTGGTCTGGACCTGCTGGCAGACAAACTGAGCAGTAGGTCATTCCTGCTGATCCGCTCTAAAACCTTCCTGGTCACCTTCACAGCTCCAGGAAGTCTGTAGGTCTGCACCATCAGGTCCACAGTGTCCCACCTGTTTGTCATCTCTAGTCTGCTTTTCTTGATGGTTGGGAGGCCTTGAACGATGTCGGCCTGCTGTAGGAACCATTTGAATTTTTTGAACTCCCCATCTCCCAAATCATCTAAGGTGTTTAAGAGATCCTCTGGTGTCATCACAGCTCCCTGAAGTATAGAATAGAATATTTTCTGCTGAAAAGTAGAGATCAAAGAGGTACAACACAAATGTTACAGCAAAGGGAAGCCAGGACGTCAGATGGAGGATAGTTATCATCATCCCCACCCTCCTAGATTGGGTACCAAGCCCCAAGAGCAACTGGTGCATTGAAGGCATTGAACGTGAGAGCAGCTGACCTGAGAGACTGCCAAGACTATGTGAAGTACCCTCTGGTATACTAAAAGATTACATCATCACAGACAATCCCTACTGTGACCATCACCAAAACCAACCAGCTGATCTACATCATAGTAGCAGTGGTCACTAAGATGCTTGGCTAAAAAATGTGCAATTATTTTGGTCCCAGTCTGTTACACATACACCATGTATATAGTTCCACTCACATATGTATACATATACACTGTTTTTTATTTTATTCTATTTATTTAATTATTTATTTATTTATTTATTTATTTATTTATTTTCCACCTTCGTTGTATATTGGTTTCCATTCTTACTTTAGCACCTTTGTGGTCTAGCTACCCAATTTCGCTGTGCAAGAAACTGCACAATGACAATAAAAAGCTCTAAGTCTCTAAGTCTAAGTCTAAAAGATGAACAGCCACAAGGAGCAGTACCCTCCATAGAGAAGGAGACTAGAAGTCAAGATGAAGGCAGCATGGAGGGAAGTTAGCCAACTATCTGAGCTTCAGAAAGGTGTGATGAAGAAAGACGTGCCTAAGAAGCAGTGTTGGGGAGTAACAGAGTACATGTACTGACGTTACGTATTTAAAATACAAAATATGAGTAACTGTATTCCGTTACAGTTACCGTTTAAAAAGGTGGTATTCAGAATACAGTTACTTTGTTGAAATAAAGGGATTACACGGCGGTCTTTTCCTGTTTCATATGTTCGGCTATGCCCTCTCTATTTTTGGTGATTCCACGCCGGTGGAAACCCAAACAAAACACACATTAAGAGGCTCTAATGTAGAGGTAGGTTTTTCTCACCCTGGGTCAACACATCTGAATCAAATGATTAGTTCATTACCAGGCCTCAGGAGAACTATAAGACATGTTGAGGAGGTCATTTAGCCATTTGGATCAGCTGTGTTGGATCAAGGACACATCTAAAACCTGCAGGACACCGGCCCTCGAGGCCTGGAGTTGCCCACCCCTGCTCTAATGCCTGTGTCTCAATCTCACGGCCCATGTCACCTCTACTTGCAGCCCGCATAATGGCATGAAGAAATTTGTTTTCAATTATCATTCAAAAAATGATTTAATATGAAGGCAATAGGCAGAGTGTTACAGGCATCGCCCTAAAGAATGTAGTCTGATGGGCAGTGTAGTCCAGCTGTGAGTAAGCTGTTAAGACTCGACTGTGTTCCTGTTTTCCTCTGAAACAATAAGTCCGTTGCAGCAGCCTTTCAACGCCTCTCTCTGTCTCTGCTAGCAAACTTGACCCAGACAACAAAGTAAAGCTAGTTTTCAGCTACGAGCCCGACACGAACCCGACGTATCAGCCAGAGGTCCTTTACTACGGTTCGGAGCCGCGGACCTGTTTTATATACGCGAGGAATAGTTTTCTACACGAGATCGCTGCAAAAAGTGCAGCCTTACCTAATGTCCACCTACTGTTACTCATTTATATTAAGATTTAAACATCTGGTTGGTGTTGGTGTGGAGAGTAACCTTCAGTAATAGTAATAAATCACACAGCAATAGGACATGTAGTTGTAAAAAGCATGATAATATATTAAGTAATCCAAAGTATTCAGAATACGTTACTCTCATTGAGTAACGTAACAGAATACATTACAAAATACATTTTGGGGCATGTAATCTGTAATCTGTAGTGGAATACATTTTAAAAGTAACCTTCCCAACACTGCTAAGAAGTATGTGGCAGGGAGGTGGTCTCTGGCCTGCTGCAGTGGATGGGTGGTGCAGTGAGCTCTCGGGCACATAGGGGACATGTGTGTGCTGAGACTAATGACTCTCTCATTATATATAGTGACGGCAGAGACTGATGGAAAAGTGTGTGCAGCGGAGGAAGCTGCGAGAGGAGCTGACTCCTGGCTCGAGTTGTGCCTTAACCTGAACGAACTGGTGAACAAAAATAAAGAAACCCAAAACACGTCAGTACACCGTGTGGGTCCGATCATTGCTACAAAGTACAACAAGCTGCCCATGCCTCAAGCCTTAGAAACTGCCAAGCAAAGACTCACAGTCTTGCCCAACAGCTTGAAGAGGTATGCAAGAGAGACAGAAGCTAGGAGGAAAAAACAACTGAACCATCCAAGGTGTACGCTCAGTGGTAAGGCAGCAATATGAGAAGAGTACCACCAAGGCTGTAGCCATACTGGAAGAGCATACAGAAGAAGCATGCAACACATGACAACAATGTTCAGTGGCTAGGGAATCTAAGACCACAGCAGCCTCCCAGGATCCAGTCACCAGCTCTTCTTTCTAGGATGTCTCGCACTGTGATGGACAGCACCTTTTAAAATCCTTGGTCTGTCACTGAGTTTCAGTTCCTGCTTTAATTTTTCTTGTGTTTAGTTCCCTCAGCATTCACCTGTCTCACCTTTCAGAGTTCTGTCTCTGAATTCAGGTTTAAGTTCATTTGAATGGAAAACTGCATGTGCTGCTGTATCCTGAGAGCTGGTTTCCACCTGTGTTTTACTTCATTCCTCACCTGTATCCACTCCTCTGAGCAGTTATCTGTGTATAAATGCTCTGGTCCATAAATCAACTCACATTCTGCATACATACGTTCAGCATAATCTAACAGTTTAGTGAAAACCTGATATGATGACAGCGCTAACTCACAGAAAGAGCTGAGACAGCAGAGCACAAAAAGGTCTACAGCAGATGTTCGACTCTCTTCTGTCTGCTGGTTAGGAAGAACAGCAAAGGTGAAAACTTTGAGGTGAAATGTGAACCAGCTGAGATGATAGCAGACAAACACACCTTTGTAAGCAGCAGCAGCTTCCTCCCCAAAGCCTTCGCTGATCCTGCTGCAGACAGAGAGATTTCAATCTGTCCACTCTTCAGGAAAGAGCTGAAAAAAGAGGAAATATCATCACATCTTTTTCACAACCAAACAGGAAGTGCATCATTTCCTTGTGTGAACACAGCTGATTCATGAAATGTAGCACATGCTGTCTGAGCAGCTTCACACAAAAAATAGGTGAACTGACCCTTTAAACCTCAGCCACACAAGCTGAGGGTTAGCCAGCTGTAGTTAAAAGATGGACGCAGCCTGTCCCTGCTGTCACTTGATGCGAGGTACCTTGGACAGGCTGCAGACCACACAGAGTGCACAGTGAGGCTCCGGGATAACACAGATCCTGTGTTATTCTCTGACATGCAGCCTTCTGCGTTAGCATAAGTGTATCTGTGACTGAGCCGCGTCGTGAACAGGTGAAGGTGGGGGCGAACATCGAAGATACTGAGATGAAGTGAAAAACCTGTGGTTTGGCTCAAAAAGTTTCCAGCAGCTTCGCAAGAAACAGGAAATTATAAAAACATTAACATCCTTTCACAGTGCCGCACAAAATGCTGTTTTACTGCTCGGTCCTTAACTCTGACGACGGAGTTCCTGCTACATCATATCGACTCTGATCTGATCTAATCAAACTACATAGACATCAGCTAAAACGCTGAGTTGCAGTACAGACATTTTCACCAGTCATCCAGCATTTATTACCATACCAGGGCTCTAGAATGCAACCAAATTTTTCAGTGGTGCGACTAAAAAAAAAATATTTGGTTGCACCTGTGCGACCAACTGTTCGGGTAGCAAAAAAAAAAAAAAATCTGCAACCTTCCCTGTGGTCAACAACAGACACACATTTTGCCCCTATCGTGGACTAAACCAATCAGAGATAGTCAGGGGCGGGACCTCTCTGATTGGCCGTGGTCCAGTTGAAAGTGCAGGTGGAAGTGGGAGGTGAGTAGCTTGAATAAAGCGATATCGATTCATTAAATCCTGAATCGACTTTTAAATATAACTGTGTTTTGCCAGAAACGCCAGATTCTCAGATTAAAGCTCACAAAACCATTTCAACAACCACCAAACAGCAGATGAGAGCAGGTACACGGACTCCACACAAAGACGTAAACACAGACCCGACGCATCAGAATCAGCTTTGTCTTTCTCGGCTTTCTCACCCGACGGCCCGCAGACGGACACGCTGTCGGAGCTCAGCGATCCTGATGCGTCCGGTCCGCGCTGTGTTTACGTCTTTTTGCGCTGATTCTGAGCTGCAGGTTTTGTCTCTCCAACCAAAATTCACCGAGCCAGCAGCAAAAGAAGCAGCAAACTGCGCTTCACATTTGATCAATGTCGTCATGAATTTTGCTGTTTTGCTTCCACGACTATTAAAATCACATCCATGCACAGCTAGCTCTCTCTCTCTCTCTCTCTGTACTTCAAGAACAGTTTCCCGTCTCCAATCTCTGTTTTCTGTATTATTCATTCGCTTATTACCCACCAGTCTACCGTTGTTTACAGCGCTGTGGCTGCTGTCTTTTTCTTTTTTCACTTAAATGACCTCGGACAAGAAAGCCTATTTTTTCTGTTGTTCAATACTGAAGAAATTTAAACTTTATATGCAGAACATTGTAGAATATTTTTAAGGTTATCTGCTATAAAAAGCCAGACCAGGAAAATCTCCTTCATGTTTTTCTGTTTTATTCTCAGTTACTTTCACACAAAGGCCTCTGCTGTGATGTTCACAATTCTGATGAAGTCAGTGCTGATAAATGATCAGAATTATAATATTTCTGACTGTCTGAGGCTAAGTTGAATCGAATGGATTATAGAAATCAGTGATGATACCCAGCCTAGTGAGCAGCCTAGGCAGGACAGAAGTGGATGTAGCTGTGATAGGAAAAGAACTATTGCTAACTTTTCTGTTAAGTTAAGGCCTGATGCTTCTGAAATTCATAGCCAGTGCTCTGACACGGTGTCATCAATCTTTGAATGCTGAAAAAGCACCATGTATCCAGAAAAACACATTATATTATATCAATTATTATAAAATTTGTGTGCGCCTAACTTTTGTGCCGGCACGCCCATGGCAAAAAGTTAGTCTAGAGCCCTGCATACAAGAGATATTTATTTTTAGAGTCATAAATATCTGTAGAGTCCGACTTCAGTGAGCGCTCGCCTGGATTTTCCTGTTGGATTATTCCAGCACCCTGTTAACAGTAATGAGACCTGCTGTGGGCAGACTGGTTTCCACAGCACTGTCAGCATCAGTGATCTCAGACCACAACCAGCAGCTTAACATGCTGCAGACACAGTTTTGATCCAAGTATGAAAGACAGTCGTGTTTAAATGATGTGAGTTTGTCCTGTTACTTCAGAGCCTCTGAAAATTGAGACCGTGCACTAAAAACGTCTGTGATTACTAAACAGTTCAAGTCTGCACTTCGGTCACACCTGCATTTCAGGTCCATCCATGTTCATCATGTTCACTGCTAAAAACAAATGATGGAGCTCAGTGTTGAGGAAGCGAAGGGAGTCACATCACAACGTAGAAACTCGTCCTGGCTGAGAACGGTACAGCAGGAGGTCGAGCGTAGTCTCATTTTAATGATCTGAGTCCAAAACTCAGCTTTCCTCGTGTATCCTCCACCACTATCTCCCTCAGTGTGTCTGTGTTATGAACACCTTGAGTGCTCAAGAGTTGGGCTTTCGCCTTGTAATCATAAGGTTGCTGGTTCGAGCCCCGGCTCGGACAGTCTCGGTCGTTGTGTCCTTGGGCAAGACACTTCACCCGTTGCCTACTGGTGGTGGTCAGAGGGCCC